GACTGACTGTCTGTCCATCTTTGGTACAAGTAGTGTCAAAATTAGTTGTCTGAATCCAATCTGGCCAACAGAAACAGTATGGTAATTAAGTTACCAGAGTTGTACGTTCACAAGAAGTTGGGTTTAATGTTTGATTTGCATGTAGATCTTTCATCGTGATTTGAAATTTATTAATACCGGGGTAATCCTAATTTGTTTAGACCAAATAACAATTTTGTCAGTTTCATCATGCTCCTGTATGGGTTCATTAAGAACTTACTGTGCAAATTATTGGTTTTCCCTCAATTAGTCCTCGGGTATGGTACTCCAATTTGTTTCCCAAATGTGTAGACTTGTATAAAAATACCCCCTCTTTCATGATACAGAAAATTACAAACTTCTGGGATACAACTCTTCATTCAGAGTTTCTAGGGTAAACATTACAATGTACAGCAAAACAAAAGTTCCTTCTGCTTAGTGTACTCTGTGTCGCGGCACTATTTTTGTAAACATCTCTGGTCCAGAAATGTTTTTCAGCCAAGGAAAAGATAAAATCTTAACTGACAATATGTGCCAAATATATTTGGACCATTACACACGCCCAGTAAATACAACTCCAACTGTATATTAAATCCAACAAATCACAGACACAAAAACTGAACTGATATAAAGTGTTGTTTTATTAATAAAACAAGTCAATTAGAACACTGTCCTCACTAGACTGTACTGCCGGTCCAACTTTTTTTCAAATATTTTCTAAAAAGTAAATGCTTCATACGGAGAAACTCGTGTTACAATAGTAGACGGTTATACAGACAATAAAATATTTGTCGAAAAAAGGTGCCATATTCACCCCTTGCTTTAAACTACTGCTTCCTAGCTATGCACACATGCAGTTTTTCTTTACATCACAGTTTTTTGCTAATTCACAAATAAGTCATTGTGAAGTGAGAAAAATATGGTGGGCAGACATTCTCTGTTGAGACCTTTGATGTTCGTTTTTTTTCTCTAAATTTCCACAACCATACCCTTGTTGAATGAACCACCACAAAAAGTGATGACATCACACCAATTGAACATGTAGGTCACAAGAAATGTAAACCAAAAGTTATGACATAATACACAAACATTGATGACATCTTAAGATGCCTTGTACTGAGCAAAAAGGACCGATGGTAACCCCCCCCCCCCCCCCCAATGGTAAGCAGTTAAGTACTCCTAGAAAAAAGGATTTTGAAAATGAAGAAAAAAAGTTTTCAATAAAAATTATTTATTTTCCTAACTTCAGATGAGTAAATAAAGCTTTCGGCTTTCAGAAAGCAAACATAGTTTGTGATAAAATATAAATAAGCTGACACATTTAGCATGAATGACGCCACCATGTATCCCATAAATCAAATTGCAGTCATTGAGAACAGCATACGACACACCCAACAGGTACAAACTTTTCTTTCTTTTTTAAAAAAAAGAAAAACCCTGTTCAAAAAAGAATACAGATTCTTTTGTAATTATGTTATCAATACTGGCAGTTGAACTAACATGATTGGTCTGGTACAAATGGGAAGATTGTTTTTAAATTCTATACTCATTTAAAAAAAAATTGAATCTAGGGATATATACATACGTAAAATATAATAATACAATAAAAACAAAACGATCACACATATGGTTTCAGAGAAAATAATAATTTGCAAATGGTAACAAAAGCAATGCACCAGACGTCAATATCTGATTGACAAATTACTCCCGTATAAACATGTATATTTTTAATTCTGTGACTTTCGAAAAAAAAATCAAGTACATTTTTATTTCAGGAAAAGCAGGTTGAAGACTTTATATCTAACTATTCTGAAATGGAAATGGTCACTGCCGAGAAATTCTGCATGTCTTGAGAAGGCAGTGTGTTGCAATAACACAGTTACGAGAGTCTTTCTTGTGGTGCAGTATACGTAAAAAGGCATTTCAATAAAAAAAAAACATCACAGAGACTGCTTGATATATACACGTAGTCATTTCATCAGTTCAATCTGTTGTACAACTTGACATTGAACCATACAGAGAAAAGCAGACAGCGATATTACTCATCAAATAGCAGCCATCACCATGGCAATCACAATAATACTAACTGATAACATTCCTCAACGTTTACTCTACGACAGGGTATTATACATGACAAGGTAACTTAACTATGAAAGTTTGTTTTTGGAAAAAAAAACCCTTATAAGACGTACTTTTTCAAATAGTACTATGTACAGGCAAGTTTTTTTCCTTCTCTTTGATATTTAATTGTCACTATAGCAACAGTAAATAATTGATTAAGTTTGGTAGTGCAGCGCCCTCAAACAATTATCTGAGGTAAAATAATTTTAATACTATAATATAAAATATAAGTGCTGAATTGGATTTGGTTTCCTAGGTTACCTATGTGTGACATCAGCAAAGTAACCATGCCTAACATTTCTGGATAAAAATCCTTTTTTTTTCATTAATAATCTCTCTAAACTAGTTTGAAAATGCATGGAATGATTTGCAGACATTTATGAATGTGTTATATAAAGCAATTTAAGCTACATTTAAACTGACAGTGTCTAATGTTTTTGTTTATTGACAACTGATTATAAAAAAATACACCCTGAGGCACAGCTACAGAAATCATACATACTTTCCACAATACATACAAAAATAGACAAATGTATCCTAATAACGATAAAAACAAATTGTAATTTGAATGATAAATGTAATTATGGACATGATTTAGTTATAAGTAGTCGTCAACGGTAACAGTAGCGCTAGCTACATGCAAATATAACTATTGGCAAATGTACATTTTTCTCTCTCCTCAAATGTGGTTGATGACATCATAAAGACAAATGATACATTAAATATACTGAATATTATGTTATTAGTAAAATCTTGCTGCTTGCTTTGCTATCTGATTCAATTACAGTAGATGGATTACAAATAACTGCTGATATATGTTGAGAGGGAGGGAGCCAGAAGACCAGGATTTTTCCCTCCAATAGTGTTCCATTTTCTTGTTATTGTATCCATGGTTACATAAATCATGGGAACAGGGGATGCAATGACGAGAATAAAACTTGTAGCTTCTTTCTCACTCTCAATGAGATCTCGAGCAACATTTGTGCCTAAAGTCTAGTGGTTCAATCTAATCATCTGATACAAATATTTTCTGATGATGCAATGCATTCTGGGAAATGAAGCTTGTAAGAAGGGTGGGACACTACCAACACTGCAAGCTTATTTCAGATTCAATATTTTGTCTTGCTTGCTTTGTAATATTTTATTTCATACTAATACATATTTGTGTGCCCCTACTACTATCATATGGTGTCTCCAAAAAAAAAAATATATATATATATATATATTTTCACTTCGATTTTTTTTCTTTAAAATTGTTCCCAAGAATCTTTGTTTTACCTGACTGTAAATCAAACCTGCCAAACATTTTTGTAATAAAAATTAATTACTTCTAAAATTTCAAAACACTTAAGTCTTTTTTTGTTCAGTTTTATATTTTTATAATATACATTATTTTTTCCAATAACTTACGACCTACTCTGTTGCCTTTCCCCTTTACATTATTTTACTTTATCATGAATCAACGAACGAAGAAAAAGCAACCCACATCATTTTTTGGCAAAAAATATAAAATAAATATCAGTGCAATATGATTACTATGGAAACCGACTCGTTACTGATAACAATCATTTTTATTTAACAAAAGAAATTGCTGTTTTTGTTCAATCAGTTTTTTTTATCTCACTTTTACTTATACACCTTGGAATATCGGGATGCAATTTTAATGAATATGCAAGATACTTATTAATGAATAATAATATTTAGATTTCCAATATTTTCCAGATCTCGTAATGAAATTATAACATATACACAATGATGCCAAAACATTAAATTTATTTACATCATGCCACTAAAACTTATGGTTGGTCCCGCTTAGTGCGGTGAGCACATGCACAATATTACCAACACAGTACACGAGTTTGTACTTTTATTCCTTGAGATCAAGATTTCCTTGTCTTTTTCAGTTTCTTCCATAATCATATTGCATATTTATATTTTTTATATCACGCACCACTCAGAGCTGCACTTTAATTGAAAACACGCATCCACATTCTTGTACACAGATGCTGATGATGTCATCATGTCTGGGGTTACAGAACATTGTGACATCATCCACGTACAACCAAGCAAAAAATGATTACATCATCCAAAAAACTTGGATTATGTCATCACTTTCTGTGAACCATTTAATATTTACTGAAACTTTAAGCTGATAAATAGTATATTGAGAGGGATATAGTACAGAGTGAAATAAACATTGTTTGCATACTATGTTGTAAACATGACGCCGTATCGCTTGGTGTTTTCGGAGGTCTGTTAATGACATCTTTGTTGGTGGGTGCACCAGGTTGTTGAGTAATGGCGTTTTCAGACTCCCCGGAACCACTGCCGCTACCAGATCCACTGTAGTCATACACTGCAAGACAATTCCAGATGTAGATTTAGTTATAAAACCACCCTGCTGCAGATAAAAACATGTTCTCCCAAATGAACATTGCTTTTAATTAACATAGCAAAATATACATACCAACATTAAGAGTGTTGACATTCTGGCCGTGAAACGCTGCTTCTAAATTCCTGGACATTAATTTCAGCCTTTCTATTTGCTCTCTGACTAAAGTGACTGGTTTGCTGACGTCAACATCAACTTCCGGATTTGACACTTGATTGGCAAGTCCATCACCGACAATATCTTCCTTGTACCTGCAAGTGAAAAAGTTATCAAAACTTATTTTTCAAAATGCAATATTGATGTCTCTGAGGATATCAGTTGAATAAACTCAAGATTTTTATTCAGTGTTACACAATACTGCATTATAATATTCGAATAAATATATCATCTTAGTAATACAATTATGCTTTTAACTTCTCAAAGAGGACTCACTATGTTGTGAAGTACAGTATTAGAAGCGCAACTCCAACAGAAGCACATTTGAACCAAAAATTGACTTTGTTGTATACTGGATAAAATATGACCTGTGTCGTACATAAGTGTATGTGCTTCTAAATATGGTATGTACAGTTTAGTGATTATTATGGAGTTCAGTTAATTTACAGTTCAATTCACATTTTAATGCTTTCGTCAAAATATAAAAAAAATATACACTTTTGAATCGTAAAAATGTATACAATATTTGTTCTTTTGTCAGCACATATATATTAGAGGCTCCCAAATTACAATGGATCATTAAAATACGAAGTATGACCATAGACACACCTTGGTCATTTAATACGGTATCCTGCTTGTACAAACACAGACACACTAATTACACCAATTATGGATGTCAATTTCCTTTTTAATTTCCAAGATAATTATTTTATAATGACTAAATTACCTTTCTTTGTTTTCACCATTCCAGCAGTTTTCCTCATTAGTGACTTCAGCGGCAATGTTTTCGTCATTACACACTGTATACGGCAAACTGGACCAGAACTTCTTTGCGAGTTTGATTTTGTTTCGTATATCACGCACTAATCTGTCTAGACTGGTGCCTGCAGCAGTCGTAGGTGACGGCATGTTCTCTTTTGGTTGCAACCGAGTAGGGTCAAAATCGTACTCATTAGCTGCTCGCTTGCCATATTGTGGATTCCCGCAACCTCCAAAGACCTAGATTTTGAGAGAAATAAATATTCTGTTGTTATTATTATTATTCATCACTGCAAGGGCAAGTTTAACTTTGATCTCCATTCATACCACCTAAATTTGGTGCTACGTTTTTATGCATTTCCACATTTCTTTGTTTCTAATTTTCAATTAAATGCACATAATTTCCCATTGGGTCTTGATGTAGGTTTATTTTGACTCCTGTTCAGTAGATTAATACAGCAATAAAAAGCGAGAAAATGTGGATCTACACTTTAAAATGTTTTCAGTTGAAAGCAAGGGTGTCATTCTGTTCAATTCAATTCCACCACAAAGCGATAATTAATTTAAAAACCTGCAAAATACACAAATGATTACCCCTGGTGAAAATATTACCAATTTGTTATTAACAGAATACTATTACTGTTATTTTAAAAAATAGAGTCATTACATAAGTGAGAAGAAGTGGTTAAGGAATATAAATGAGGTTTTAGGTGAACAACATATTTTAAAGCATGCTTCCTATTGAATACCCATTATTTCAGAAAGGTGTCATTATATAACGGAAATTACAATAATCCTACTGTGTTTAATATGTATGGCCAATCACTTTAATAGTGCTTGGTAAGCATTTAGAATTTTCTCAGCTGCTGCCCTCTAGTGTCAATGTAGAGAGAGGTTTGCATGTTGATTGAATGACTCACTCCATTTTTGCACATGATCGGAGACGTCTACAATTGATGAAAGGAAAATAAGAGAAGCAAGCCTCTCCCAAGGACATGTTTTAGGCTATTATAATTGTTAAAGATGAATGCAGTGTTAGACAAAACAACATAGCACTTTAGATATCTCAATCAGTAACAGCCAAGAAGAAAACAAACTCTGGCTGGCATTTTTTGAAAGACATTTAAATACAATTCTGTAATGGATTTCTACAGGTTCCATTTCTCTCTAATTTGTTTGATTTCATCGCTTGTTAAATTCAGCACATATTATTAATAACTGAGAGCATTTTAATCTTATTTTACTTCAATATCATTTTCATCACCACAGACGAAATCTTTGAAGTTGCAGGTATATTTACTTCAAGAGAAAACATGCACAGCCTGTCGCAGCGAGATGAAGTCAGGAGAAACCACAAACAGAAGCAACTTTATATCCACATTATGATTAATCTGATCTGACCTTTGAACTCTCTCTGACCCTGATCTCTGTAGGAAGTAACAACTGTTCCTCTAACATGAGGGCAGTTGTTTAATTGACCCTACCATTTTTGAAGCTTTAGATTTCAAGCATAGTTGGACTAAGACTATAAACAATACATAAGAACATCAAGACTGTTGACAGCCGAAGATTGTTTATGAATACCACACGATAATAGCAACAGATATATTAAATTACATCCGGGCACCCCCAAAATATCTGAGATGGTAGAAATTTAGAAATAAAGCTAATGCATGACAGTGATCTTAAATTAGTATTTTTTTTATTCTGGGCATTAAAGTAAAATGATATCATACCTTGCAGACCTATCGCACTACAGTCCTCTAGTGCGTCGTAAGTGCATCATGTTCAATATGGGACCAATAACGACATCAACCATGTAAAATACATTGTTTATTTACATATGTTTAGGATTTATTTTTGAAGAATATGAAATACTATCAGACTGGCAATCTCTATTGTTACGGTTGATACAACACTAAAGCATCAATTCATTCTCACTTTCTCATTTAAAACTACTGGTCCTGAATTTCTTGAATTCCAAGCTAAAGTTAATGCAAATATAACAGTATTCCATGTCAGATATTTAGCCTTCCGGTAAGAACCCAATCAATCTCTTTGTCCACTGAGTTAAGACTTACTACCCAACAATCAATGAACTAGAAAATAACTATATCAAATCTAAAATACTTTATTTTCGCTGGAATTAATTTTCCCTGAAAAGGCTTTTTGGGCGTTCTTTATGGAATTTATTTTCACTGATCATTGATGAGTTGAATGTGAAATATAGGAAAAAAAGTATATTCGCTGGATTTTATTTTTACGGATTCATCCCTTCAGCGAAAATAGCGAAAATAAAGTATTCTACAGTATTATTTATTTAACATTACATTATAAGTTTTCTACTGTTTCACATTTCATCACAGGACATTATAATTATACTTTTCTTACTTTTTAAGAATCTCTATCATTACATTTTCTGCATAGCTATTTACAATTGCACCATATATGAAACTGAAAGAAGAAGGGTGCACCTCGCTATGAATGAGAAGGTTACACACACAATTTGGATCCAAATAAGGTATACAGCAAATGTTTTGTAATTTCATAAATTTTCTATGTTTTAGTGATTTTCACTGTCTTGTAGTATTTGTGAACATTTGTCTTTTATAAAAATAAAAATATTTAGTACTGGTGATTTTTACATTTTTCTGCAGTTTTTGTCAACATGCCAACAAACTGTTCTACTACGCACAGGTCGGAATGACAAAGGCCTTTATGTTAAGTTGAAAATATAAGTCCACAGTTTAATATGAACACAATGTATGGGTACTTTTGTTCACATGGCAAATATCATATTGGAACTTACACACAAGTAATGGCATACTCTACTTCTCAGATTTCAACACAAGTCCTCTCCTACTCCATCATCGTCATCACTGACTGGTTACCATAGCAACCACTTACACTTTACCAAATATCACTCATCACATTGCTGGGGGGGGGTCTCTGGTCTCTTCAATATTACATCATATACCAGGTGCACTGAATAGCAACATGCCTCAAACATAGACAAAACTACCAGCATTCAGTGCCAATTAAAGAAATATTTGTGTTTGCATAGTGTACTTTATTTTTCATAGCCAATTATTATTATTATATTAACAAATGTATCCAACTTTTTCTAAGTAAGTATAAGTTGAATACCAATAATCTGTGATATTTTCAGTACATCTATAGGATTTTTTAGTTCAATAAGTTAATATTGGCTATGTGTCTAAAATTGTCATCCATATAATGAATTGCAACAAAATGGTCCATTACAAAATGCAACAAAATGGTCCATTACAAAATGAAACAAAATGGTCCATTACGAATTGCAACAAAATGACCCATTACGAATTGCAACAAAATGGCCCATTATGAATTGTAACAAAATGGCCCATTTTCACCAATTTGAAAATG